TGGTCTATTGGTATTCTGCATCTCCTGCTCTTTCTCCACCCTGCTTTGCCTCCTTAATGTGCTGTGGATGGAGGCTTTGCTGTGATTTTTCTCAGCCTGGGAATCTTGTCCTTGGGAAGCTCCTTGATCCTAACGGAGGTTGGAGCTGGTGGGCTGGGGAGAGGATGGGGCACCTTATCCCGGGGCTGTGTGTGACAGAGTGAACCCAGGGCCACCAGGGCACCTGTGATCCCAAGGGCCCCCGTCAGGATCACTTCTAAGCCAGAGGGTGGTTCCTTTGCTGCCCTCATTCTCCTCGTTGGGGTAATTAAGAAGGAGTTGCTGAATTCGCCTGACCTAGATACTCCCCAGTTCCTGGGGCTGTGTCTCGTCAGGGCTGGGAACGGCTGCTCCTTGGGCTTAGCCCATGTGGTGCCGACCTTTCCGTGAGGGACCTGAACCTTCCTGCCTCCAGCCCTGAGCTCAGCCCTGTGGGTACTGGATCCCAGGATCCGGGGAGAAGCTGCGGGGAGTTCAGGCACAGCAGCTTCTCTTGCTTTCCCTCTGGAGCTGGGTGCTCCCCCAGTTAATAGCCCGCCTTGGTCTGAGCACCTCCTCCGACACGCTGGGATCCTTCCTTCCCCTCCGTCTTTCTAATTGCACCCTTTCTGTCAGCTTTTTAATCAGCTTCCAGCAATCACAGGCAATTACATTCAATGCTGTGGCTGTCTCGAGAGTGAGGATTCAGCCAGCATGCACAAAGAGGTGCATTGTTTGCAGGCGTAGTTGGTTATTAGTAAATTTTTAAAGGGGGTCCAATGGAGAGAAGAGGGATTTAAATATCGTAATTCTCAATTTTTTGTTTAAAGGGTGTGGTTTTCTCTTTTTGGTAGTCTTTGGAGGTTCCCCATGGTCTGCATCTGCACGGAAGGAATCATGCTTTTTTATTTTCTTGCCTTGGTTTTAAAGAGTTAAAGATGACAGCCCTGGAATGCTGCTTTGGTGTATTTTTAATCTGCTTTAATCTGAGTTTACAGTTTAAAGACTTGCTTAGCACAGTTAATACTCATCTGACTATCTTCATTCTTTATCTGCCTTTTCATGAGGATTTTAGACTTTTTTCTCTACGGCAGTAAATGCCAGTTGATGTTGGGTCTCATGGGGGTTCACAACTGCAGTTATGACCAAGCCTTGTGATTTTTGTTGTGTTTTTATCACAGAAGTTTACCCCAGGGCAGCAAAACACCTGAGATCACCTGAATTAGGGACCAAATTCTGCCCGGGGCACCAAAGCCCGGAGTTGTTGCTGTATAGTAATTGCTCCCAATTTTAGACATCCACTTTTATTATTCTGATATTTTTGGTATGATAAAAGCCACCTGAACCCAGAAGGTCACATGAAGGGATAGATTTATCCTATTGGTTAAAATGATTGGTCCCTATACAAACTCTAATTGAAAAATAGCAGTTTTATCCCCTCCCAGGAGATGCTCCTTCTGCTTGCTTTAGATATTTACGTTTAAAACGTACAAGATTCAGAGAACATTAACTGGATTACATCCATCTATTTAAGCTATTGCTAGTGACCCGGCCGCCACAGAGGATGAATCGGGGAAAAGGGTCCACGTTCACACCCAGCCCGTGGTCCTGAGAGCGCGGGGCTGACCCGGCTCCCCGGCCCCCGCTGCTGGGTGAAGCCTGTGCTTAAATTACCCTGGCAATTGCAGCCATTGCAAATGAATCATTTTGCAGACCTTCTTCCCCATCTATTTTTGAAATTGCATCTTTTTTTGCTAAAGAAACCTTTTTACTAAAAGGGAGAAGCTTATTTGTCAGCCTCAGGGCCAGAGAGGTGATTACAAAATTAAAATATTGTCTGGACAAGTGGAGAGAATCGTGGCCCTGTGCTCCTTTATTGAAAGACACCTGTTTCTGTGTGGATCCATGTGAAGTTGAAGGCTCTCCGGACTTCTGGACAAGCCAGGACTGTATTACCTGATCATGAGGCCTGGCTGGGGCACCAGATGGCAAAAAGTATTATATTATGATGGGGAATAATTCCAGCCTCTGAGGGAATTGTCCAAGAGATTTGTATGGCTGTAGTGTACACCGGATAAAGGCTGAATGGGCTTTGGGAGCCCCTGCTTCGACTCCTGCCCCTGATCCTTAGCACAACCTCAGGACTGTCCCCTTGGCTCCCCGAGTCTGCCTCTTCTTCTCTGGTTTTGAGCCCCGTGAAGGCAGGGATTCTCCGGAGTGCTTTCCTTGTGCAGAGCTTCCCCATTTCTGCCACTCTTGCTATACAGTGATATGTGATGCTAGGGAAGCTGGGTCCATCCTGGTTCCAGGGGATCCCTCTGGAGCAGGATCACAGGCTTGGAGACCCTCCAGTGCTGGGTTCTGCCAGAGCTTTCACTCGAGACACACAGTAGTAAAACAGTAGTGATAATAACCACTAATAGGGTACTGGCTTAATGATAGAGTAGGGTAGCTCATTTGGACGTCAAACCTAATCCTTTCCTGGTACGTATGCGGACTTGCCCTTAGGCCTGTGCTGTATCAGCAGAAAAACTAAAATAATAATAATAATAAGCCACCGTATGGAGCAGCTGGGCTTGTTGTTGACCTTGTGTGGCCACTGTGATTCCCGTGAGCCCAGGGAGCCGGGCTGCGTGCAGGCACTGAGGCTGTGGCTGCTCGTTGCACGAGTGCGTGTTGGCATGGGCTGCCTTGCGGCTGGTGCCCCTCATCTGGGAAGCAAAGGCTGATACCTTAGCACCTGAAAAAGGCAGTCCTCAGGCTCAGGTGGGGTTTTGAGGCATTGAAGGAGCTGCAGTGTGTTGAGCAATCCCTTCTAACATCCAGGGCACTGCCCTGGAGCCTGGTAAAGTGACCAAATCGTCTTAAAATTTGTATTTAGGACTAAGGAAATGAAATGCTGAAGAGCAGCCTCGTAATTCCTGTAGATAATCCTTAATGCTTGCGATGTGCTTTGAAGGCGAGGGTGCCAAGAAGGCCGGTTGTTAACTCAGCTGCCCCGTAACACCCAGATCTGCTTTGCTGGGGGTCAGCAGGGAGGCGGGTGCTGCTCCTGTGCTGCATCAGCCTCGGCCTCGCAGCAAGGAGAAGCTCCCTTTGATGTGGAGATGCGTTCGGGTGTGGAGATGCATTCGGGTGTTCAATGGGGCTGTGCTGTGCGTAGTTAGCTCTGCCTCGGGGCAGGGAGATGGTCTTGATGAGCGTTTCAGGTCCCTCCTGGCCCTGTTTTCCATGCTTTTGTGGTCCCGGCACAGCTCTGCCCAGAGAGAGCCTGTCCTTCCAGCTGAGCAGAGGGGCTGGCCAGGGTGTTCCCTCATGCCGGGATCTCTCCGGGCAGAGGGAGACCAGCAGGGCCCCCTCCTATTGGCCTCAGCAGCTGCTCCAAAAGATGCATTTTAAGCTGAAAAAGGGCAGCTCAGACCTGCAATACAAAGCCCAGCCCAGAGCTGGAAGTAACAAGGTGACTTCAAGTTGCACCTATGTGCAGAATTGCCAGGCTGCACCCGCTGCTTCCTTTCTTAAGCAGCAACATTAAAGAAGCTTAAAGGAAGGAGAGAAGCTGAAGCTCTTTTTCTTCCTCATTTGCCTTGCACTGCTCCGCTCCCTCCCTGCTGATAAAATGGGCCTGTGCTGGCCTGGGAGGCTGCTCCTGCTGCCACACCTGCTGGGAAGGGGGAATTCCGTGGAGCGAGAACGTGGTGCTGGAATGCTTCCTAGGGGACAAAGCTGGCACAGAAACCTTCCTTGCCACGGAAAATTGAATTATTTGTTTGCTCGCTTTTGAATTAGGTCTCTGTGGGCCAGAGCTGCAGCTGTGGGGAAGCAGCCGAGCTCCAGGTGTGCCCGGTGCATTTAGCTGTGTCATCCCCCTGCGTGCCCTGCAGTCCCCTTGGCGCTCAAGCCCCTTGTGGCATTGCTTTTCACTCTGCTTCGTCCTCTCATTCCACCAGGAGGACCTTGGTGACAGCAGGATGCGCTGGGACCTGGGGGCAGGAGGCAGGAATTGTGTTCAGCATCTTCCCATGAAGTTGTCAGCAAGATAGAAATGAAATATATGAGAATTCATGGCACTGTTCCCATGCTGGTTATGCCCTTTAGGTGCCATTTGCGGGACAGGGTGGTTTGTCACCCTGAAAATGCCACTGCAGATGCATCTGCTTTGCTCTTCTAGCCTTGCTGCTGACCACAGGACATAATGAAGCCTGGGGTGGTTGCTCCTGGGAGACTGGTTTGGAGGACTCCCCTTAAGATCTCGAGCAAGAAAAGATTTTGATAATTTAGTGTTTAGCAGCTGGACATGACCTGGGTCCCTCAGCTGTGTCCCTCAGGGTGCTCCTTTCCAGAGTGGGGTCACCCAGGAGCTTTCAGAGGTGCAGCAGGGTCCCGAGCCTTGCAGTAAAACTCAAGTGTCTTTGCACGCAGCAGGGCTGTAAGAGCCTGGCTGGGTGTGCAAAGGGAGAGGAGTTATCCTGCCTCTGTGGTGAATAAAGTGTTTATCTGGCATTGAGGGGGTGCATGCCGCCGCCAGAACTGGGACCCGAGCTCTGTGCCCGGAGGAGGTGCTGTGCTTAAACCGCAAACACCTCCTTTGAACCCGGCGTGGCTCAGGGGAGCTTTTCAGCACGTTCTGGAGCGTGGGGAACTAGGCACGTCCTGTAGACAGAAAGCCCGCGAGGGCCAGGAGAGGGAGGCGGCAGGAGCAGGGGGTGGGACGTGTGCGCGCAGCGAGCGGCGCCCGCGGAGCACCGCGGAGCGCAGCGCCGCGC